GAGTGTCAGGTTTCAGAAATTGTGTGACAAGTAAAGATTTTGTGTGTAAGCAGTTGGAAAAAACAAACAAAAAAAAAAACTGTAAACCGGGTTGAGTCTGACAGACGTTGTTGACAAAATTATATTTTTCATATCACACTGGGGTTAGACAATAAAGAAAATGCTTTCCACATGTTTGTTAAACTATAAGAATGAATGAAAACGCAACTTGTTTGTTCACAATTAAACTCCTCAGAGCTCCCTTTGAATTTAGGGCCCCATAAATCAATTGACCAATTCATAAATGAATTTGAATAGAGCACTGCAGTGATGATGTGTTTTTTTAGGCCAACCTGGAAGTCAGCATCACCCAGGTTTCCTCAACAAAAACACAGTAGGATTTTTCCATTGGCTTTTGGCTTATTTCAGAAAATACGGTCTGCGGCCAACAAAAGATAATAATTTGTTTTGTTCGTTTTGCATGTTGTGTTCACAAATGAACACAATGTTTATACATTTTGAAGCCAAAATGCAACGGCCAGAAGTAAAAAGCTAAATGTAGGCTATAAAGCAACACCGCCGTTGCGAGACTCATTAATTAGAATGTTCAGTGAGTAAACTTCAAAGTCCTTGGGATTGCTTTTTATGAAAAACGGTAAATAAGTTTCTCAAAGAGATGAAAATCAAACGGTCACTTGGCATCTGAATCCCCCTGGGGTCTGTCTAGAAATGCACCGGCTACCAATTATGTGACTTATGACTCATGCGTCTTAAATGGTGCAACCACCATTATGCCAGAGAATGTATGCGAGAGAAGCACTTCATCCGTAATCTGTCTCTTTATGTTCACAGGAGAGCATGCTGTAATACGTGAAGATGCGCCAGAGGTCGTGGCTCTTTAAATGGTTGGGAATCGGCATTGGCGTTCTTCTGCTCACCGCTGCTAGCTATTCTCAAGATTCAGATGGTAAGTTCTCCCTCACAAATTTTCCTGACTGTCTGGCATCTTCAATATTCCTGCTTTGGAGCGATCGAATTTAGATGATGATATATGTGTTTTCCAAAACTCATAAGATTGCTTTATAAACTGGTGAGCTGCCTCTGTAGGCACACTCCTGATGTTCCAGAAGGTAGGCAGCATGAATATGAAGCATTTCAGAATGCATTGCAACAAGCTCAGTAAAAACAATAAATAAATATGGCACGCAATGTGAGAGAAATGTTGATTAGAAATATAAATAATTAAATACTGAAAAGTAGCAGTAAAATGTGATTCATTTCAGAGAGGCTAATTTTCCTATATTTGTGTGCCTGTGTATTTTTATGCTTATTAGAGTAAATCGTTAGTTTAGTAATATGCTAATGTTAAATTCTTGCATCAGCACCATGCTTCCGAAGTTCAGTTTGAGGAGTACATGGAAAGGTAGTTTACATATAAAAGTTTACATATGTAACATGAGAATTTTAAGGGCAGTTCTGTTATTGTTTTTAAACAAGAATCATGCCTAATGAATTATGTATGTGTTTTTTTTTAACTATAGGGTCTTTTGTGGATATGAAAATGTAGGTGGTGGAAATGACTTCCTTAGGCTAATTTTATAGCTGTCATTTTCATTTTTAATTCATTTTTAATTTCACAGCTACAATAGACAGTTATAATTTGTGTTGATATAAATCATATTCACACTGTAAATGTTACAATCTTTTCATCACATTTGGATTGTCACAGTTTTAAATACGTAATGAATGATGTTCATTATGGATTTTCATATCTCAAGATTGAAAGTCTGGGACGATGAAACAATGGGGAAAATCTGTCAATAAAAGTCACTTTAAAAGTTGCAAGATGATTCATGGTAAAAAAAAAAAAAAAAATCCAGTTTAATGTGACCTTCACATGATAAAATTAATTAGTAAGTAAGTACGTACGTACAGATAATAAGCAAGTAAATAGCTACCAATTACGGTGACGCATTGCTGCCACACACATTTTTTTTTTTCACTCAGTTATGTCGTAATAACGAGATGTTTTCTCGTAATAACGAGATGTTTTCTCGTTAAAACGACATCTTTTCTCGTAATAGCGAGATGTTTTCTCGTTAAAACGACATCTTTTCTCGTAATAACGAGATGTTTTCATATGAAGCACAACACTGTTCATCTTGGTTCGGCGGCGCCGTCGCGATCCTTTGGGCTACACTGTGATAACAGAGGAAAGAAATGTCTGCTTTATTTTCTATACTTCCACAATAACAACAAAACGTTACAAATTGCTTTTGTAAAATAACAGGGTGCGCTTTCTGGCGCATCTTGTTATGTCTAAAGGTCTACTTAAATAAAACAATCGAAAACAAATTAGTTTTTATTTAATTCGTATAGTCTAAATCCAACCAGAGGTACTGTACAGTATTTCCCGTCTGAGCTCATCTGTATTTTGTGCTCACACCCAGGCGCAGCGCAGCCTATTCCTTCAGTATAAAGCAAAGCCTGGGCTGCGTTTCTCGATAACGATTGATCTTAGAGCTTAA